ATAATGCAAGTCAGAGAAAGCAACCAGGTAACTACTTATATATTTATTTAAATTTACTTATTTTTTGGCCAATTACTACTGCAGTTTGCAGTTGACAAAAATTATTTCTGAAGAACAAAGAAAAAATTTTAAATGTTTTTATTTTAAACTACCTTTTTAATGTTCTACCTCCTTTGAAAATGAACCAGTCAGTAGTTACCTGGTTGCTTTCTCTGACTTGCATTATTTGAAATACAGTACGTTAGCTCATGATTGGGTTTCTAGATGTCTGTCGGAAGCACAAGTGCTTCATTGTCTCCCTTGGGTGATGGTAGAATTCTGGGAAAGAAGCCTGCGGAAGGTGGTAGGAGGTCAGTCTGTGCAAGTCCCTTCTCCAAGCACAAAGGAGGCTTACCTCTCGCAGAACGTGTGCAGACAGGGGAGAACCTTGGGGTTCTTGTACCGTTCCAGGCATATACTGCAAATCAGAAACTGCTTGTCAATCTGGCGCACCACAGGACTTGGGATGTTTGTGGCTTCACTGGCCATCCTAGACCACTGACATGGGAGGCCGGCTGTCTTTGACCCTGCACGCTGCTGCTGTCAGACAGAAAAACCAAAATGGAAAAATATATAATCATCCATAGTGCAAATCAACCCCTGGCTCTTTTACCCAAGGCATCAAGATATACACAGTTGGAAGTCAGTTAGTGACCTCAAAATGACCACAGCCAGCCCTCATGGCTGTTGTTTGTTTTGTATATGCTTGTTGGGTTTCAAGGCTGAGCGGTGGCCAAGGGAATAAATACTTATAGATAGCTGTCTGTTCATACCTTCAGCCATAACTATATTTGAATACATATTTGCCTTTTCTATTCTTATCTAATTCAATGTCTCCCCAACTATTGTATTTAAAGGGAACAGAATATGCTTATGCAAAATGTGCCACTTTGGTGTAAGGATTAGTTTGAACTAAAGGCTGCTGAGAAACAGCAGACACAAAAGGAGCTCTCTGTCTTCCCCCATTTGCCTAAAACTGGCATAAAATTCCTTTGTGAAGAGGAAATGTCCATTTGTGAAGGTGCTCCTCTCCTATGTCAGAAAGGCCAGAAGACTCTTATTTCTGGAGATGGCAAGGTGATGAGCCTGTTTAACCAAACTAAACAAATCTTAAAATGTAGACATCGTATATTTTCCAGTCACCTTTCTGCAATTTACTGCCCTTTGCAGTCCAACCCCGCCTTGCCTTTGTAGACAGCTCTCCACAATTTATCACCCGTTGTTAAAATGGTATATAAACCCCCAATTCTAATGACTTCCTTGGGTTTTCATTTCTTCTCTACGAAGCTTCCGTATGTAAAATCAAAAACATTAATATTTACACAATTTGTATATGTTTTCTATTATTAGTCTTTTACCACTTTAATTTACAGGCCCCAGGCAGATAACCTAAGAGAGCAGAAGAAAAAATTTTCTTCCACTACAAATGATTAATATGCAAGATAGAGAAAAGATGAGCTGTGGCTGGGGCTCAGTGGCAAAGTGCTTGCCTCACATGTGTGAGGCACTGGGTTCAATCCTCAGCACCACATAAAAATAAGTGAAATAAAGGTATTGTGTCATTAAAAAAGAGAGAGAGAGAGAGAGAGAGAGAGAGAGAGAGAGAGAGAGAGAAAAGATGACATTGCCCCAAGAGCCAAAAATAAACAGGAATTGGGGGGGAAAATGCTAAATGGAGATTATTAGAATTTTGAATTTAAAACTTTATATATGGTTTAGTGTTTTCTTAAGAACTAAAGGTGTATAGATTGAAAATTAAAATGTATCTGCCATGGAGCCAGGGGAAAAAAGCTGGAGTTAGCCCCTGTAGTTTGAAAGAAATATCCATGGGTATTCATGTGGGTGCATTTGAAGGACATGGAGAAGTGAGTGAATTCAGAGGAGGTTTCAATATGTCAGAGATCATACCAGAAAAGAAGAAATTAGGAGAGAACATCGAGAAGAAAGCAGAGAGCCCAAGAGTGCAAAAAGGAGGGGAAGTTATAGTACAAAACACCCATCCATTTACCACTTCAGGTGTTTACCCCAAAGGGGTAAACCAGGGATGAACTAAAATTCACTTCTCAATTTTCCTAAATATTTGATAAGTTGTCCCCAGCCCTATATATAATTCCCAATGGAAATACTCTCTGCCCCTTCCCCTAAAAAGGGATATTTAATATAATTATAGTAGGAAGTGCTATTATTATTCTCACTCTATAGATAAAACAAACCATACATGCATACACACAAGTACACAAAACAGCACAAGCCAGGTATGGTGGCTCACGCCTGTAATCCCAGCAGCTGGGGAGGCTGAGACAAAAGGATCACGAGTTCAAAGCCAGCCTCATCAAAAAGCAAGGTGCTCAGCAACTCAGTGAGACCCAGTCTCTAAATAAAATACAAAATAGGGCTGGAGATGGAGTTCAATCCCTGGTACCCCTCCTCACCAAAATAAAACCCCACATACAACAACATAGGCTCAGTCAAGTTCACCTGAATGTGACATGCAACTAAAGAGAGATGTATGCTTCTAAAACCCGTGGCCTCTTCACTCCTTACACCCCTACCGGCACCACCTTGAACCTTGTTTTATGAAGACTGTACAACAGAAGCTTGGTTTATATATGACACTTGAACTTGACCTGTGACCAGCATTTGAAGCTGGGAAATACTGAAAAACCAGCCTCTACCTCAGAGCAAAGCCTGTCCAAGGAAGGGGGCATGACTCTTGTCCTTGGAAAGACCCACAGAGCACTCCTAGGCACATACCCACCCTGCTAAGTTGTTTATCTACAAATGACAGGAGTGTCAGGTGTCCCTGACTCAGTCAGGCTAGGTGGGAACCCATAGCAACCCCCTAGCAGCCACCAATCAGCATGAGACAGGGAAAATACTGGGATGCCAGATGACCCCCCAGAAGTTTATGGTGTTGGAAAACTATGTAGTTCAGCATGAACACCCCTCTTGGCTTAAACCAATCAGTTCAAACAAATCCCCCTCTTGTAGTAACCAATCACCTCTACCCAACTTGTTCCCACCAGTGAATGTGCTAATCAATGTTAAGAGTTGTTGGTCTCTGGTGATCTTTTGGGGGTCCCGAATTCGAGCAAAACAATACAACATAATTACAAAGTCCACAATTTGACACTCTTTTCCATAGCTTTCCTTACTCCCTACCAAATCACCAAATTTTGAAAGGTATTTCAACTTTCAGTAAGAAAACTCCATTTGGACATATGTGAATACAGTCATATAGGTGACACACCCATTTCCAAACTCCACACTTTGCAGACAGGTTCATCAAAGAATATGATTAATAAACATAAAGCACCTTGGGAAACACCTGCTATCCAAGAGTGTCGGTTCAGACAGAAGTCGGTGCACAGTTAAGCAGTGTAGGTGTGAATATCTAATTAGCCAGCATCACCAGCCAGGCTTCTCATAGCCTGCCTCCCTAAAGAACTGGAGTAGAGAATGATATTCACTGACTAAATGCAATGGAGCTCATCTCCCAGGAGCTAGAATGTTGGCGCACTGTCTGCTTTTTTTAACCACATCCCTATGACTTCAGAATCGGTAAGGAAAGAATCTGTCTATCTTAAAGATAAGGAAACCAAACCTGAGGGCTTAAATGACTTGCCCAAGGTCATCCAGTAAAATCAGAATCAGAAAGCTCAGATTTCAAGTTTTCTGCCTTATCAGAGAAGTTGATGAAATCTAACCTTAAACAAGTTTAGGGTTGGGAATGTAGCTCTGAGGTAGAATGCTCACCTACCAAGTGCAAGGCCCTGTTCCATCCCCAGCACCACAAAGCAAAAAAGCTTCACATTTCACAAGTGTGGAGAGCATAAAAATGATAGAGTGCTCACCTCAGCAACATTAAAATTTGAATGACATAGAAAAAATTGGCATAGCCCCTGCACAAGGATGGCACAAATATTCATATATTTTAAAAAATGATATTGAGGGATGGGCACAGTGGCATACACCTGGATTCACAGTTACTTAGGAGGCTGGGGTGGGAGGATCCTAAGTTTGAGTCCAGCCTTGGCCATTTAGCAAGATCCTGTCTCAAAATAAAAAATAAAAAGGATTGGGTATAGCCTCCTGGTAGAGCATCCCTGGGTTCAATGCCTATTACTAGACAATGAGAAGGAGAAAGACAGGCCAGGTGTCACATGCCTATAATCCCACTTACTCAAGAGGCTGAGGCAGGAGGATCGAAATTCAAAGCCAGTCTGAGCAACTTAGAGAGGTTATAAGCAATTTAGTGAGATGCTGTCTCAAAATTTTAAAAAATAATAAAAAGGACTAGGGATGTGGCTCAGTGGTTGAACACCCCTGGCTTCAATCCCTGGTACAATAAAGGAAAAAAAAAAAAAAGAGGACTGGGGGTTGTGGTTCAGAGGAAGAGCTCTTGCCTAGCATGCGTGAGGCACTGGGTTCAATCCTCAGCACCACATAAAAGTAAAATAAAGGCATTGTGTCTACCTATCACTAAAAAATAAATGTTAAAAGAGGAAGAAGATATTGAGGACTGGGATATAGCTCAGTGGTAAGAGTAACATGTATAAAAGTCCTGGGTCCATTCCCCAGCATGAAAGAAATAGGAAAGAATGGAAGAAAGATGATATTGAACTTATCAGTTAAAATAATTTTCTTGACTCCTATAGTGAAAGAATTAAAACCAAGAATCAATAAATGGGATGGAATCAAACTAAGAAGTTTCTTCTCAGCAAAAGAAACAATCTGTGAGGTGAGTAGAGAGCCTACAGAATGGGAGCAAATTTTTACCCCTCACACATCAGATAGAGCACTAATCTCTAAGGTATATAAAGAACTCAAAAAGCTAAACACCGAAAAAACAAATAACCCAATCAACAACTGGGCCAAGGACCTGAACAGACTCTTCTCAGAAGAGGATATACAATCAATCAACAAATATATGAAAAAATGCTCATTATCTCTAGCAATCAGAGAAATGCAAATCAAAACTACTCTAAGATGTCATCTCACTCCAGTCAGAATGGCAGCTATTATAAAGACAAACAACAATAAATGTTGGCAAGAATGTGGGAGGAAAGGTACACTCATACATTGCTGGTGGGACTGCAAATTGGTGCAGCCAATATGGAAAGCAGTATGGAGATTCCTTGGAAATCTGGAAATGGAACCACCATTTGACCCAGCTATTCCTCTCCTCGGACTATACCCAAAGGACTTAAAAACAGCATACTACAGAGACACAGCCACATCAATGTTTATAGCAGCACAATTCACAATAGCTAAACTGTGGAGTCAACCTAGATGCCCTTCAGTGGATGAATGGATAAAAAAAATATGGCATATATACACAATGGAATTTTACTCAGCATTAAAAAAGAACAAAACCATGACATTTGCAGGTAAATGGATGGCGTTGGAAAAGAATGCTAAGTGAAGTTAGCCAATCCCAAAAAACCAAATGCCAAATGTTTTCTCTGATATAAGGAGGCTGACTCATAGTGGAGTAGGGAGGG